GGTGGGGGGTGGGGGGGATGTCAGCCAGCCTGTTGCTTGCTGCCATAGAATAGGGGGAGGGAATAGGTGGAAGCTTACATTGCAGCTTTGCAACTATTGTTATCTCCAAAGCCAAACTGTTAGCTCTGGTATGCGGTTGCCTAGCTACAAGGTGGCTGGGCTATATATTGTGTTTGAAGGTGCTGTGTTCATGCTTTTTTGCCTCATAACTTGCTTGAAACTGTCTGCATTTGATTTCTTCCTAGTAAAAGTACTTTTCTCTAAATCTATGGAGCTAAGGATTTTTCTTTCCTAGGAAATGTACAGCGGCAACCTGACAGATGAGTTCTCCTTCTATTCCCTTATCTAAGTTATTTATGAAGATATTGAAGAGTCTTGTGGTATCCCAGTGGTCACTTCCCTCCATGTGTACCATTAAAAACTAGTTATTGAATATATTTTGTCAGCCAGCTACAAATCTATCTGGTGGTGATGTTGTCTATTCCATATTTTTCTAGCTTACCAAGAAGTAGATTGTGGTCTACTTATGAAATGCCATACTAAAATCTACTATTAGTATACTAAGTATACTAATTTAGTGACTTTATCAAAGAATGAAATAAGATTGATTTGCCACGAACTGTTTTTAATAAACCTGTGCTGGCTACTAGTTATATCTATGTATATTTGCTTATGGTTGTTCACAGATCTGTTTATTATTATTGTTGTTGTTGTTATTATTATTATTCCAGGATCTTCCCAGGTATTGATGTTAGATTGATTGATCTGTAGTTTCCTGGGTCTCTTCCCCCACCCCCTTTCTTGAAGATGGGAACCACATCAGCCTTTTTTCAATCTTCAGATACTTGCTCTGTCCTCCAAGATTTTTGAAACATTTGATACATGGTTCTGAGATAACATCTGCCAGCTCCTTCAGAACTCTGGGATGTAATCTGTCAGATCCCAGTGATTTATATTCGTCTAGGTCAGATAGGTGTTCTCTTACTATTTTCTTGCTTATTTTAATATTTATTTCTAGTTTGTCTTTTACAGTAATTTTTTAGGTACATTGGGCTATAATTTCCTTTGCTTTGGCATGAAAACTAGTGAAAAGAATGAGTTGTGCAGCTCTGCTTTCTCCCTACTGCCTGTTACTTCCTTGCCATCTTCTCTTTTTAGTGGACCTACTTGTTTCCTTGACTTTTTCTCTTGTTATTAATATGTTAAAATAAACTATTTTATTATCTTTGACTTTTGTAGCAAGCCTTGGTTCGTTCTGAGCCTTTGCTTTCCTGGCTTCATCTTTGCATATTCTGGCTATCTGCTGATAATCAGCCTTAGTTATGTGTCCCTCTTTCCATTTTTTGTGCTTGTCCTTTGAATACTACTTGAATTTAACAGGGGAAAAAGAAGTTGAAGAGGTAATGCCATCTGTAGTAGTATCAAGCCCTTTGCCATATAAGCTTTTTCCAACTGTATTTATTTATTGTACCTTTCCTGACCAGTGTCCACCAAGTACTTTTTGACATGGAATTCAGCCTCAGAAGATTTGTGACAGACCTTCTTAGAGACAGCCCTTAAAGATGACTAAGGACCAAGTTCCTAACTGCATATTGCAGTTAATCCTACTTTATTTTTTGAATATCATCTCACTTTATTTTTATTGGTCTTTAGCTTTTCTTCAGTTGTCGATTGATGTTCATGGAAACAATTTTACTTAGATCCTAATTAGCTGACTCATATTTCTTATGGAAAACCTTTACATATATTGATGTTTCATTTGCTACTGGTCTTGCATCCTAGCTACAATCCAATTATGTAGCAATCAATTTCCAGCAGGAAACATCAGAATTTCAGTGATCTTAAAACATATTATATAGTTTGTCTACCCTGCCCACCAAATTGGAGAGGCAGGTATGTTACTGATCCCCTCACTTAAGAAGGTTTATCTAGTGCAGGGTTGTCAAACTCAAGGCCTGCAGGCCACATCTGGTCCACAGGGTGCCTAGATCTGGCCTGTGGGGCTGCCCTGGAAACAGCAAAGGACCGGAGCTGATCGCAGCCCCTGCCCAAGCTCCATTTTCATTGGCAGAGGATTGCAGTTGAAAACAGAGCTGGGGAAGGGGCATGCATGGCCCTCCCAAGGTCTGTTTTCGCTGGTAAAGGCCAGCAGGACACAGCCGCAGCTGAAAGCAGAGCTCAGGGGAGCTGCACACAGCCTCCTTCCAAGATCCATTTTCATTGGCAGAGGGCTGCAGGAGACTGTCACAGCCAAAAACAGATATCAAGCTAGCCATGCTCCCCTGGCTATGCACCTCCAGCTCCCTGAAGTCAAACACAACCCTGATGCAGCCCTCAATGAAATCGAGTTTGACACCCTTGATGTAGTGGAACCAAGAAGAAGGACCCTTTATGTGGTAGCTCCCTCCTAATGAAACATCACTCTTGAAGAGATAAAATTATCCCCTCCCCCTGGATGTTCTTTCAAAAGGCCTGAAAACATGTTTTGCCAGCAAGTCTGGGGACCCCAGGGTGACACAGAGCCTATTGTGATTATTGTCCCTCCAGGGGGATAAGGGTTTATTGGATTTTATATTTGAGGTTTTACTTCTGTAATCCTCCTCTAGTCACTGTGAATTAGGCAACCATGTACATTTTCATGAAAATAAATTCTTTAAGGAGACCTCATATCCAAATTGTACCCTTGTGTGATCTTTTGGCCAAGGATTGCTGTCATTCCTTTAATAACTTCAGAGATGGTTCAACCTAAGCTTTTTGTTTTGCCATTAAATCATGGATGCTGCCCCATTTACCATCTAGTGGACCTCAGGATTCTCCCACCAGGTATTAATTATATTTCACCATTCACAATTTTTTTTTGAAAATTTTATTTGGGTTTTCACAAAAAAAAACCCATAATACAAATAAAACATCTTTTTTTGAAAATAGCATGGTCCCGGGTTACACTTCTTCATACAGACACAAACTCAATTTCATGCTCACTTTTATGTTCTATTCCATATCTTATTACTGTTTTACATTTTCTACATAGTTTTTCTCCTCTCTTAATTTTCTCAAATTTATTTTAATTATCTCATATCAATTCAAATCATTATACTCATACTTTTGTCTGTCCTGTTTCAGTTTCATGTTTTCTTTTCTCATTAAACAAATTTTCTCCTGTAGTTACTAATTGGAGTATGACACCTTTATATCGTTTAATTTTATCCATTCAACTCTTATTTAAGCTTCAATGTATACCTTGAGGTTATAACATTCAATATAATACATAACTTCCAATCGAATTCAATTGAATTTTATCCATCATTTTAATCATACATTGTTTCATATTTTCTAAAATTATTTCTATTTCTAATATAACAATACTGTCTTATGTACCTTTGCAGAATCCCTTTTTCAATTAAATTTTCACCCATTATCTCTAAATAGGCCCTATTTCTCCATATCTTGTTTCTGTCCTTTATAACTTACTTTCCTTTCCTTCTTCCCTCTCTTCTTCTCCCCCCCCCTTTTTACCCCCTTGTCTCTCTAGTTCTAATTCTCTCTTCTGTATTCCTCTCTTCTGTTACTTTCTAATCTTTTACTTATTTTTCAAGTTATTATTCCTTTTCTTGGTTGTTTTTTCAAATTTTAAACTTTTCATTCTCTTTCCCCCCTTTCCTTCCCCCCCCCGCCACATAAAATTACTTGTTCATTAAAGATGGCTTCTTCTTTGTCCCAGTCTTCTTGTTCTGCAGGCATTTCTTGTTGTTTCTCATAGTTCTCCATTTCTAAGAATTGAAATATGAAGCCAAAAGAACCTCTCCCTTCTTGTGCATCTTCTTTGTACTTTTTAAGTTCCATTTTCAGTTCATCTAAAAGTAGTGCCATTTTAAAACATTTTTAAACAACCACCCAACTGATTTTAGTCATTCAAATGCAATAACCAAAAATCCAGAGATCACCAAATAATCCAAATATTCCCAAACTGTTTCCTCATGCTTCTTTTTTCCACTTTCTCTTTCTGGGGTTCTACTATTTTGTAGCCAAGTTTCAGTTATTCCAGGCAGTCTCCTCCCTTTTTTCCAGATCCTGCCCTTTTATTCTTTTTCTTTCATTTCCTGCTTTTAGAAGGTTTTAAGTATCCAGAAATCTTTATTATCCCTTTGACATCTTATTTTCAGCTTAAATGCCTATTGATGTCAAAGTGGATTTTTTTTCCAATTTCTTATTTAGATCTCTTAGCTGTCAGTATAGGGAAAAGGAGAGAAGAAGAAAAACCAAACCCTTTCCCTTTTCTCTCTCCTTCACTGCTTCAAAATCTTCTTTGGGAACAATGTTACTTTTTTTTTAGTTTAAATTCCAGGGTAGCTTAGTTGTTGCTTTTGCAGTTTAACCCGGTCAACCAAACTTTCTCTTCTTATCTTCCTCCTGCACATTCTTTTCCAAATATCCTTGACAGAAGACAAAAAACTCCCACAGAAACACTTACAAGAAGGAGAAAAAAGCAACACAAACCAGGCAAGATAAGGGCTGCAAGACATTCACAGATAACAGATCACACACTGGGAAGGACGCCAAACTCAGAAAGGAACCATAAACTAGAGATATGTCCATGCTTTGTTTCCAGCATTCACCCATATGCATGTCTGTCCTCTTATTCAGTTGTCACAGCTGCAGCCCATGAAGAGGATCAAGGCCCTCTCCTCCCAAGTAGACCATATCTTTCCCTTACCCTCTCCTCCCTGCGTGCCCTAGGATGGAGAGGGGATGGGCCTGGGTCCTCCTCTGACTGCTCAGCCAGCCTTTGGCCTTCCCCAGCCTCCTCCACAACCTCCAGAGCCACACTTCCACTTCCTGTCAGTTGTTCCTCCTCTCCCTCAGAGTCAGTCTCCACCAGGGACATGACAATTAATGAGAAGGCATTTGGCTCTATAAAAATGGATGCAAGAATAAATTATGTAGACTAGAGTATCATTTCTATCACCTCTTCAATCATAATATTTTGCTTTTCTGTAAAGGGCAAGAACGAAAATCGTTTATTCCATGTATAGCCGAAAACCTGCAAAAGAAGTTAAAAAAGGACTATTAAAAATGGGAGTAAATTACTACATTTTAGAAGATTCTTGGTGCCTGAGGCGAACAAAGTAAGTATTCAGTAATAAAACTAATTGTTTCTCTCAAATGTTCAACGAGCAGAGTGCTACTCTCTAATGCATACTAAGAAAGTTTTGAGATTTCTTTTAACATCACCCATTTCATGAAATGATTTTGTATGATGTGCTTTATAGTTGTATTACTTTAATGATGGAAATTCTGGTCCCTGTTTATTTTATATCTCAGTTTTATTTTTATTGTAAATAACTCAAGATGGTGAACATACCTAACATTCCTTTCTCCTCCCAATCCCCGCCCCCACAAAAAAACAATCCTGTGAATTGAGTTGACTGAGTGAGAGTAATCGTCTCAAAGTCACTTTTCATGCCAAAGGCAAGACTAGGCATGTTTAAGTCATAGTCTCCTGTGTCTACGCTGATGCCTTAAACCATTTGCAGGCTATTTGTATAATGTATCTTTATCTTAGTTATGTATTAAAATTTAGATAAATTATTCCAGTAGTTTAAAATACGGTTCAGAACAATGATTTAAATTAAAAGGATTTCATAGTCTTGTGGAAAATAAAATGTGATCTTATGCTTTCACTGTACTGCTTTTATTTTAAATATGAAAATAAATTTGGTCACCATGGGATTTCTAAAACATGAAATTTCAGAAAATTTTACTATGTTTTCTTGGGGAAATGGCTCGGCTGTAATTTTAACTGATAGGATAATTGTTCTTGAATTTCTTATAACCTGCTGTTAAGCTTGGTCATAGAAGTTAGTAATAAATACTAAATCAATTTCTCTATCCATCTATCTACTTGTAGTTCAGCAGAACTGTCATTCTGGTTGCATTCCAGTTTTAAGACTGGAATGCAAAATAATTCTACATAAATTTAACCTGTTTGAACTTTAATGTAAGAAAGAAAAGGTTCCCATTCCCTTCCCTACTTAAAATGGCCTCTAGAAAATAATGCAGGAGAGTTTTGTTAAATACTGAGGTTTATGACATAGGAAGAAGCTGCTGTGAGAATCATTATATATGGCTTTGATCACAGGGGTGTCAAACTCAAGACCCATTGGCCAGATGCGGCCCACGATGAGGCCATATCCAGCCCACTTGGCCATTCTGGAGGAGTAAGGGGCCGGTCCATGCCATCCTGGCAGATGTGTGCATGCACAGGCCCAATTCTCTGTCACCACATGCAGGGCAACAAAAGTAGTCTGTAAGGACTACAGGCTACAATATAAAAAAATAGTTCAGACCTTCCAACATCGCAAGATTTTTTTTCCATGAGAAGTTGGAAGGTCTGAACTATTTTTTTTTTACTGTAGTCCCACAGTTGTCTTGCACATCACGGTGGCTAACAGCTGGAAAGCAGGTTAGTGAATGCATGTGGCTGCCCTGAGAGGGTTGGGGGATGGGAGTTTGGCATGGGTGGCCTGGCTGAAGGGTGCTTAGGTAAGCTGGGCAGGGTGGGTGGGGCAGCTCTGCACCTCTACCTTGATTAATCCTTCATCTCCCCCCAGTGCCTCACTTCGTTCCTCACCACTTTTCCTTGCTCGCTGGCATAATGGAGGAGGAGAAGGCTGAGCAACGCACTGGTGCAGCAGCCACAAAGCGAGGTGGCAGGGGGTGGAGGACGAAGCAAGACAGAGTGTCTGGACCTCCACCCCTATGCCCCACACCGGCTTATTTGAGCACCCCACCAGCCAGGCACTGCAACGCTATCACTGCCACCACAAAGAGAGAGAGGGGGGGAAGGAGAGGGAGAGAGAGTGATCTATGCTTCAGCCAGGACATCCAAGCTGGTGAGGGAAGCAGGAGCCCCTTGAGCAGCCATGATTCCCCTCTCCCCAACCAGCCAGCCCTGCTTGACCCTAAGTCTTGCTGTTCTTCTCCTTGTCCTCCCCACTCAAGTTATGCTGGGCTCTGCGAGACAACAGGGTCTCTCATTTTTCCCCTGGCATGGCAAACTCTAGCGGGCTGGACGCGAGCGTGAAGGACCTGGCCCCGCAGTGCCTCCTCGCTCAGTTGAAGGCCTTCAAACAGTAAGGCTGGCACATGCAAGTGAGGAGCACACCTGGGCCATGGACAGCATTGGTTCCTTGCCCCAGTTGATTCCAATTCCACGGCCAGCCTTACAGTCTGAGGGCAGGAACAAAACCTTCAACTGAGCAAGGAAGCACTGCAGGGCCAGGCCCTTCATACCTGCATCCAGCCCACCGGAATTCACCGCCCTGGGAGAGGAATGAGACCTCATTGTCCATGGAGCACAGCTGTATGCATATGCTGCGCCTGCATGCACATTGGGCACTTGGAGTGATCTTTGAAGGCAAGCCCACAGCTGCACCTTCACTTTCTTCAGCCTGGATGCATTAGAGGAACTCAAGCTGCTGGTGACGGCAGCCATCTGAGCAGCCATGATCACCCTTCTCCTGGCAGCCATCATCGCCTGACCTACTCCCTGGACTAGCTAGCTGGCACAAAGCCTTGCCATTCTTCTCATCCTCCTCATCCTCCCTGCTCAAGTGGCTGTGGGCTCCATGGAACAAAGAGGTCTCATTCCTCTCCCAGCGCAGCAAACTCTGCAGGCTAGCTGGGGAGGGACCACCCCACCATGCCGCTGGCTGGCTTCCTCAAAGGCGAAGAAACAGCGGCAGAGAGGAGACAGGTGTTTGCAAGATAAGTGAGTGTGACAAGAGGGAGGGAGAAGCATGGGGTATCTTAGTGGGTTGAGAAGACCTTGAGGGGATGTTCTATCACTAGGCCTCCCACGGCCTTCCCCATCCTGAGATATTTCATGTGAAGTTAACAAACGGCACATTGGTATTCTTGAATTGTAAGCTCTTGGAAAAGTATCCCCTCCTTGTGTGTTGCAAACAGCCATTTCTACTGGAGAAATATTTTCCTTTGCTATATTTCCAGTCTGTATTAGACCATGGCAGAGTCCCTACAGCCCTTTTAAGGATTATGTATTAATAGAAAAGTAACTAACTTACCTCTGTTCTTAAATGCTAAAGCTATTGCACATTAAAAACAGAGGAACTCTGATCAATACAGCTATGTGAAAAAGTCCTGCATGCTTTACAGTTTTGACATTTTTTGGATAGGCCATTAATTTTATGATATTTTATGCTAACTGCTATGCAAATATTGTTATATTTAAATAAATACTGGTGGTTTTTAAGTGAAAAGCATAAGCTTTTTACAATTTGGTGCTGTTTGGATGGGGATTGTGAATTTTCTTGCATGCTTACAATGCATGTTTACAACGACTATGAAAACAGATTAACTGATGCATACCCAGTGGCATATGTGTTGCAATTACTAAGGCCGATGCTAGTGTTTTGTTAACATTTTTATTGTTTGTGGCCCTGAAAAGGACCATTTAGTCCTGGTTACTAATATGAAATTTGCCAGTCATTATTGCTTATCACCGGGTGCTATCGCTTTGGCATAGACTGTATAAGCCTTTGCACATGATCTTTGGGGACAATGTGGTACCAGGCTGCAATAATGGATTCAGTCAGCTCCTGCTTTGTCTTTGGATGCTTCTTGCTTATTTCCTAACCAATCTTGGCCCACAAGTTCTCAATTGGGTTCAAATCCAGGCTCTGAGCTGGCCAATCCAGGAGTTTAACACCATGCTTCTTCATCCACTGCTAGATGGACTTGGGTCGATGACAAGGAACGTTGTCATCCTGGAAGTAAAAGTCCTTCCCTACAAGTTGCTGAGCTGAAGGAAGCATGGTCTTTTCCAGGACTTCCACATACTGCTTGGAATTCATGATTCCCTACACGATTTGTATCTGACCAATATCAGAAGCAGCGATACAGCCCCAGATCATCACATGCAATGGATGCTTCACAGATAGATTCAGGCAATACAGCCTAAATTCTTCAGCTGGAAATCTTCTGACATACTTATTGCACTTATTCCCAGTCAAGTAGAAATTGCTCTCATCACTGAAGATGACCTTGGCCCACTGTTGGTTGGTCCACTTGGCATACTTCTTGGGCCATGCATATCGACGAGAGCGATGAACGTTTGTGAGCAAAGGTTTACTTAGAACCCTGCAGCCTTTGAGCCCTCTGGCAAGCAGTCTGTGATGCACTATGCTTGTGCACACTTTTACATCACATGTTTCACCCCAAATTCTTGTAATCTGAGGTGAGGTGAGCTTCCTGTCAGCCATTGAAATGTGTTGCAGAGCCCGATCTTGCTGTTTTGTTGATTTTCTTGGTCTTCCAGAGTGGACCCTGTCATCAACTGAACCAGTTATTTGGTATTTTTCAACCACTCTGCTCACTGTGGTTGCAATGGCATTTCACTCTCTTGGCTATTTCTGTACAGGAGTAACCTTCTTCATGAAACACAATGATGCAATGCCACTGCTCAGTACTGGTAAAAGCAAAGGCCTTCGTCCTTGCCTGCAGCCAGAGCTAAATTAAATTTCTTGATGCTTTTCATGCCTATTTATAGTGAGAGAATATGACAACATTGATTGTCTCATAGCCTCTGTGCATTTTCATTGGTCAGCCAAAGCTCGCTGCTGATTGGCTACTTTTGATCCTAACATTTTCAAAAATGCAACTTGTGTTTATTTTAGCACATAAACTCACTCAAAACCTTAAAAAGACTTTGGTTATATTAATAAAAATTCTGCATCTCAATTTGACTACAGAAATTTTCATCAAAGTACTAATTTTGCGTGGTTTCTATGAGTGAAATGTTGATTAAACATGTAAATACAGGTTAAAATTGAAAGCATGCAGGACTTTTTCACACAACTGTATCAGAGCCTTCATTCTGACAGTTTTCTCTTGTAAGTCTGCAACAGGTCAGGATGGGGTGATACTCTTCGTTAGTTGCTTAGGACTGATTCTGTGCAAAAGGCTTATTAGCCTAGCTCCGCCCACTCTGGGTGACTTCTCCCCAGTTTCTACTCAGTCCTTAGGAGAATAGGATGTGTGGCATTGCCTCTCCTGCCTTTGGAAATTTTAGTTCCAAAGGCAGCCTTACAAGGAAATTCTTCTTTGA